TTCAACTACAGGTTCTGCCTTTGTGTAGCAAATGAGTGTTGTTACTTGTAGGCTTGATGGGTATACCTTATAAAATATATTTCATCTTACTAAGTTTTGTTAAAACTTGAGTTCATAGAATAATTAACCTGTGATTTAAAGCCAGAGTTATTCTGTTTCTGAACTCAAATTACTTTATCTCAAAAATGTTTATGTAGTTCATGTCTGTTATCATTACCGCAAGAAGGGTTGTCCCTTCTCTTGCCTCATAACTTTTCTTTGACCTTTGAAAGATTAGTTAGCTGACTTTCAGGTTTTTGCTCGTGGTGCTAAAGAGTAAACCCTAAGGAGAAGCAGGCCCAAAACTTAGCCATCTTAACTGAGCAGTATGACCACAACATTAATGAAATGCTCTCTACTCAAGCCGTAAGTTTATTTTACTTAGGCAAAACAAATTTAGTGCCCCTTCCCTTCCACCACCTGAATGAAATCCCAACAATTAAAATATTAAGTTGGAAATGAAAACTCTGTTGCACCTTGGGAAATAGTGATGGTAGTCCATATTCTTCTTGTTCCCAGCATTGCTTGGAAATGCATGATGTATATATAATTCTCTTTGATACATTTGTACATGAGGTTCTACATAGGCTCTCTGTTGGTGCCTTGCAGGGATTTAGTACATATACCAACAGCTTATGAAGATTGGAGAAGCAGCTTTTTTAAGCAATGTTCAAAAGTAATACTTTATTGGGAATCCAGATGGTCACATTTGAGTGCAGGTACAAAATATTTGCTATGTAAGTTTCCAGACTTTTTCTTAATGGGCCAGATAGTAAGTATTTTAGGCTTTGTGTGTCAGGAGGAAAAATTGAGGTATGATGTGAGTATACATAGCCATTTAAAATGTGACCATTTCAGAATATAAAAACCATTCCTAATTAGTGGACTATTGAAAAACAAAAACAAAAAAATCAGGTAACTGTTCAGATTTGGCCCATAGCTGTAGTATGCTTGTCCCTGTTCTGTAGTCATTTCCATTGGAGAGAAGAGATTCAGTCATATCAATCAGATTCTATATTTTTCTTTAAAAAATAACAATTATTTAGGCATCATCCAAATAGCTTATGATAGCTTTATTTTTATAATGCCTTCATTGGTTGCTATGCTTTCCTTTTTCGGAGATGTTTACTCCAAGATGTAAGAGAGAACAGTTGTGCCCTATAGAAGAGTAGTCTGTCTTAACTTACACCTCCTCCTTTCCATATGTCATGAAAAGATAGTTCACAGTAGGATAGATGTTTTCTTTCTCTCTTTCAGCCGCGTTTGGATGAAGCACAGAAGGCAGAGTGCCAAGCTTTGAAAATGCAGCTGCAGCAGGAAGTGGAGCTGTTGAATATGTCAGAGGAAAATCAAGATGCAGGCTGAGGCACAACGTGATCTAGAGCTTCAGGAACTTGAACAGAGGGTCTCCCTCCACAAGGCACTCTTAGAACAAAAGGTATAAGTAATAGAAAAAAGTAATTGTGCTAGTATTTGCTTTCATCAAAATCATTTCATAAATATATTTTCATGATGACAGAGGTGGCATTAGATTGTTTTCACAATACCATATTTGCTTAATTCTAGTTTTGGTAGTGTGTTCTTTTTCTTTAAAATTATTGATTCAGTAATGAACCTTAAATTAATGAGTGTGATATATTAAAGGAATATACTTGAGTAGTAATTGCTAGAGGAATGAGTTAGGTGAACACAGTTGAATTGTAAAAGGATAGCTCTGGCTGTCTTCCTCACCTCTTTTGTGTACCTAGTTGTACCTAAAGAAATTGGAGAAAAAGTTGGATAGTGAAAGAAAAAGCTTTAGTAATTGCTTGGGAGAGACAAGGAAAAAGGATCAGGAATATACTTTATTCATTCATCCTTGGTCTGGAACTGTACAGATTGGTAGATTACGGGAAAAGAGAAGGTAAGACCAGTTTTACACACATGAAGAGTTCAGCTGAAAATATTATTTCTAGATGTATCTTTATTTATTTTACTTATTCTTGGTCATATATGTTAGAACTAGAATCCCTAAATTCACTTGTATCCTTTAAGGTACTGAGGCTGTATGTGTGTGTGTTGGAGAAAGAACAATGGGTGGAAGATTTGGAGAAAGGAAGAGAGGAAAGGCATTTGTTCTGAGTAGCAGTAGAATGTCAGTTGTATCCAGGATTGAATGCTATGTTCCGGAATTCCTGAGCCATAAGTTCCCAGCAGCTGGTATGGTCTTAGGTCCATTGGTCCATTGTAAGTTAACACGAGCCTAATGGTTTTGTCTATTAAAAATTGTCATTGCTTCTGGACCATTAATTGACCCATAGACTTTCCTCTCTCTTCTACAGTTCTTGTGATAAAAATAGAATACCTCATTTATATTTTAAAAATATGTTCTTAAAAACTCCACCTAAACAGAGTGTTGCTACTTCTCTGGTACAGCTGTCTTTATTACTGGCTTTGAGAGTTACTTGCCTCTAAAAATTATCTCAATTATGTTTCTCATTCAAGATGGGAAGATAGAAACATATAAATTGTAAGAAAAATGTAGTTGTGCCATGTACAGAATTCATAAATCTGCCTTATTTCAACTTGCATATTTAAAATTTAATCTAAAGTTCCATTTCTTATGCTTCAAAATTATCACTGAAAGAAAAGTCTATAGTATTTCAGTAACAGTGATATGAGAGAAATATGGTAGTGTTTTATTTGTATTTTTAGCTCCACCTAGTGGCTCAGAGTTAAAGAGTGCTAATTAATATCTTTGGTGCAGTCTTACTTCAATATATGAATTAAGGCCTTTTTGTTCTACAAAACCAGGTAAAATGTTGGCATAGGGCTGATACTATTGCCAGAAGTGCAGTCGCACTCTCATACATTTTTAATGCATTTTGGAAAGCAATTTGAAAGTATATATTGATCTTTGAAAATGTTAAGCAAAGAATTTAGAGAATTTAGAGGAAAGAAATCCTGAATACAGGAAAAGCAATATGCATAAATATGTTAATTATGGCATAGTTTATAATGGTTTAAAACACCTAACCATCTAAAATAATTAAGTGCTTATGACCAAGGCACTTAATAAAATCTTGCTCAACCATTTAAATGATGGCTATAAAGATAATATTAATGCAGAAAAATGCTTATGAGGTGTTGAATAAAATAAAGACATCACAAAGTGAGTTGAACTAATACTTATAATGGCTATATTAATATGGTAGATTGGTTGTGTTTTATATTATTTTGATAAGAGACATGCATAAGATAAAAATAATAAAAGAAACAGTGGAATAAATCTACAGTGCTTTGAGTTGCTACTTGATTTTTAGGGTTCATGTTTACATTTCAAGTGAAGTACATGACTATAAAGCAGTTTGTGGTCAGTCAGTTGGCAATTACCAAGGCCATGATATACCCATGGTATGAGTTGAAATATTTTCTGTACTTTTTGCTTATTGGTTGTACAGATAAGAAACAGTCATCTGAAAATAGAGGTGGAAGCAGAGAGAATGCTAGTTATTTCTAGATGAATAATAATTCTGTTTGAAGATTGCTTTCAGCCTACAAATGAACCAAGAATTGTCCTCCAGGTCGAGACACCTTCAGAGGACGCCTCAGTTGAGGCTCACATGAGGTCTTACTGAAACTTTCCTTGTGCTTCATTTACATTAAAATTTCAGCAAAATGACAACATAACTATAAATGTTAAATTCTATGTGAATTTCGTACATGCATAAACAGTGGCAGTATTTCCAAAGCATAAATGGGCTTTTCTTTTATCATTTCCTTTAATTTTCCCTGAATTTTTCACTTAGTATCAACAACATGGTTGGTCGTTTTTAAATAAGAATTGACTATTGGAATATCTTGTAGGACCTTTCGAACTGAAAATATTCACACAAAAATATCACATTTGATTTCAGAGAAGATAGGTTAGGAGAGAAGTCTCAGAAGTCATATCCAGTGAAACCACCTTTCTTATTACAGTAATAAATAAGATATTTTCAAAGAAATGGGGGTTAATATAACCTATCATGAATCTAAGTTTTAGTTTTTATTGAAAAATATTCTGAGTTTCTTAAATGACAAAACTAATTCAACAAACAAAATTGAAGCTGTGCTTACTGGATAAAGTGGATAAGCATTAATGTGCTTAATATTTATATCATGAGTTTCCTTCAAATAATATAGAAGGCATTGAAATTAGTTAAATCCTCAGTACAAACCTATCATTTATTAGGCCCTTTGAAGTAAATGTTCTTAATAAATGGAGTTTTGATATTTTAAAATAGAAAATATTTAAAATAAAAATTTGAAGTTATTTGAATACTTACAGATATATAAATTTAATTCTATATGAATTGGGTATTTTCTCTGTAGATATTAAAAGAGTGGAAAAGTTATTTTACAAATACATATTTTTTAAACTTGGCAATTATAGAGAAACGAATAGAAATTAAAATGTTTTTAACCCCACCACTCAGAAATCATGACAGCTATCAATTTGATATCTTTCCCTTAGAAGAAGCATTGTGTCTAATCTAAGTTCTCTTTCAACCTTCATTAGGAAGTGCCATAACACTTCAGTACTCAGAGTTTAGTAATTTTCAAACTTACCCTACCAAAGCCCCTTCTGGCCTGTTTGTAATTCCCCACACACATTTTATCATTTTGCGTGCCTTTGCCCATGTTCCCTCTGCTGAAAATCTTTCCCTTCCCTTGTCTTCTGGTAAAGTTGTGCTTTTCCTTCAGAGTCCAGTCTGTCACCTTCTCTGAGAAGACTTCTTTGCCCTACTCCTCTTCCCCTATGGAATGAATTACTCCATCCCTTTGTACTGCTGCTTTACCTTATAAATCTGTTATTACATCTTATCGTATTATGTGGCAGTTTTTTATTTGCCTTTGTTTCCATGCTAAATTGTGTTTTTTTGAAAAGGCACTTTAAAAAACAGTACATACGAGGGGCTTGATAATATGGGTGAATGTTGTAACCACAATGTTGCTCGTATGAAACCTTCATAAGATTGTATATCAATGTTAACTTAGTAAAAAAAAAAAGGTACATAAAAACTAAACATATTTGTTGTGCTAGATTTCTGTAGAGAACAATGACTATTGGCTTAAATCCTCAAATATCTTGAAACCTAATTCAATACTTCTTTACAAATACTCTTTATTTCCTATTTTTTAAAAACTTTGTATCATGGAAATTTTCAAACATACACAAAAATGTATTAGTGAAATTATTAAGAATTAGTACAATGAAGTTCCCAAATACACATTACCCAACTTCAACAGTCATCAGTATCTTGCTAATATTTCATCTGTTTCCTGACTCCACATGCAGCTTTTTAGGGGAGCGAAATATGGGACAGAGTATCTGGAATATTTCTTTTCTCTAGCAATTATGCAATTATTCACAGTTAATATACTGTGGTAACTGAAATTTGAACCATGTTGTTAGAGGGCTGGTGTTTTTTTTAACTAATAGTGGTAACTGAAATGAGTAGTATCTGAAATATTTTAAAGCGAATCTCAGCAAAGAATCATTTCACTCCAAACACAGATAAGGAAATAAGGACTCTTTTACTTTACCATAGTCATAATTTCATTGTGTTAACAAAATTATAATAAATGTTTAAGATTACCTAATAGTCCATACTTAAATTTTCCTTTGTATCTAAAAATTATCTTACTGGTTTATTTAGATTGGGGCCCAAACATGGTGTACACATTGCATTTGATTGTCTTTTAAGCCTTTTGGTCTCCCCTGCCCTTTTTTTCATTATAGTGGACAGGGTCATTTGCTTTGAAGCAATTCTCACGTTTGGATTTGGCTGATTCCATCCTCATGGTGTCATTTAATGCATTCCTCTTTACTTTATATTTCCTGTAAACTGGTAATTAGAGAAAGGCATGATTTTATTTACTTTAATTTTTTTTCCTTTTAAAAACTTTTGGGAGGAATTTTCATAAGGGTTACTGTGTGACACTTCCTTTTGCATCACATCAAAAGATATATAATGTCTGTTGTCTCACTTTGAAGTGATACTTGATGAGTGGATTCAGGTATTCTCATTCATTAACAAGTTCTCCATCAACTTCTTCCCATTGTCATTGACTTTATTATGTATTTTTTCACATTAAAAAAATTTGTGGTCAGCTATATTTATTTGTAAACCTTTGAGTTGTGCAGAACTGATTATGATGGCTACCCAACCACTAATTTCTAAGTACATAGAGTCTCTGACTTTCTAATGGAAACTTTACAGTTTTTGTTTGTTTTTCACTTAATGCTCTGATCTGTCTGGAATATGGTTTCTTCCAGATGGTTGGTCACTTGTGCCTGTGTTGTTTTTCCCATTAAATTAATTAGTGCTTTTGTCCTGCATTAAAAACAAACTTCATTCTGTTTCTGTTTTCTAATTGCTGGTTCCTACACCAAGACCGTATTTATTTTATTAGGGTGACATTATGGTTTGTCTAATAAGGCTCGATTCTCCTTACACATTTTCTTTTTCATTCTTTTTACCTAATGGATTTAGTAGCCACTGATGATAAATGTCTTGATTTATTATTTTAATAGAGGTTATTACCTTTGCTTTTAAGAACTTGATTTTACACATTTTAGCATTATATTATATATGATTCCTACAGTACAGCTCTTTGATTTTTAAATGGACACCCTTTAAAATAGCCAGAGTGAACATTTTTATGATTCACTTTAAACCAGAATAATTATTGCTTCTGTAGTTTAAAGACTTTTCTAAATAAATGAGCTTTCTTTTTGCTTCCCCCCCCAACCCACAACAGATTAAAGAAGAGGTATTGACATTGCAGAATGAATGCACTGAACGAATACGAAGCCTGCTGGAGCGTCAAGCAAGAGAAATGGAAGCTTTCAACTCTGAAAGCCTGAGACTAGGTTCTAGTAACGTGGTCCTTTCTAACCTTGCCCCCGAGGCATTCAGCCACAGCTCCCCTGGAGCTTCTGGTTGGTCTCACCATCCTACTGGGGGTCCAGGACCTCACCGGGGGCTTCTCCCATAGGTGGCCCACCACAAGCCTGGGGTCATCCAATGCAAGGTGGGTCCCCATCATGGGGGTCACCCTTCTGGGCCAATGCATGGGGTACCCCGAGGTAGCAGCATTGGAGTTTGCAATAGCCCTCGGGTTATGAGGCAGACAGCTGCCGGGGGACAGACCAAATGGCATGAACAGAAAGAAACACAAGTGTCACTTGACAAATATCCAGTGGGTGACACATGTCTTACACGTAACTTAATAACTGAGAATGGCAATTCCGCTAGAGCTGTCTGCCACAAGAAACCGCCTACAGACATCATCACAGCAGCCTCCTCACTTGGGTACTACCGCGCAGAAGCTGAGTGCATATGATAGATTTTATTCATTTTGTAAAGCGTTTTATTTTGTGTTTACTAATTGGGATGTCATAGTATTTAGCTATAGGGTTTTGTGTATTGTTTTTAACTTCTGGGGAAATTGTATGAAAAGGAATTGGTGTGTATGTTTATCAAATATGCACACACACATAATCCACGTGGTAAAAAGAAACTGCCTAGATAGGGGGTATTTTCTGAAAACTTCAAAAACAGAATTCAGCAAAGTGGCTTGAATCATCACTTTTGGGCAACTCTATCCTAAGAAATTTGTGAAAAAATCTAAAGCCTTTCTCTGTATATCCCAGGTTCTTAGAGCCACTCACAGCAGGCAGCATATGCTAAAACAAATTATTTTGAAAATACAGCTGTATCCCCTCCCCACTGTATTTTGTTTATAAAATAAAATATATTTTGTCTGACTATTAAATTACCCTCATTTGGAGTAGGAAAAAAGTGGAAATCCATGAACACTGAAGGGTTGCATTGACTTTTTCAGAGAGTAGAAGACAACCTAATTCTTTTCTGAATGCTGCAAATTTGTCAGTGAATTTTATTTTATTTTATTTTTGGGGGGTCCATTCAATTGTGCCTTCTTTGTGGCATGGTGAGATGGAGGTGCTTCACACAAGTTTTATGGGAATTGCATCACCAAACCTGTGAGCCTCCAAAGGGGAGGACAAAAAGGGTGAGGGGGCCCCTGAAAGCTCATCTGATGGGTATGTTCAACAGCAGAGTGAGGAGATGAAGCCTATGTATATCCTGACATTTTGTTGCTTATACTGTGATATCTTATCCTAGCTGAGCTAAGCTCTGTTAACTTCCAAGACCCCGAACAGTACTTTTGCTTTGTTTATACAAAAACAAAGACATATAGCCAATACAAATCAAATGCCAGAGGTATTTGAATGATGCCGTATTTACAGACTGCCACCTATTGAAATTCTCATCGCACTACTTAGACATAATTCAATTACTCCCTTTTGTTTTTTAGGATTTCCTGTTTACAAGTAGAATAGCCAATTATTTAAGTGCTTAGTTACCATAGTGAACCAGGAGTCACTGAGCCAGTGACTTTACCAGCTGTAGGTTTTGCTGCATGTGCAGGGCCTCTTCTTTTTTTTTAAATTGCTGCTTTTGTTGCTGCAACACTTTACAAATTTCTAGTTCCTTGAGACTTAGTGACTGCTTGGCATCATGTTAACATCACATGACAGAAAACACCACTTCCGGAAGTCTGAAGCCTCGGTGCTAAAGTAGTAGTGAAAAGGAACTGGCAAGTTTGGCCAATTAAAAACAAAAACAAAAAAACTAAAATGAGTTATGGTGGTCAAGAAATCTCTTGACTTGTTTTGTTTTGTTTTACAATGAAGGACCAACCCAATGCTGACAGTGAGGTGTGACTTGGGGTCCCACAGCCGGTGTGGAGGCTGAGCTGCAGGCAGGAGGCAGGTGGGGAGCCATGAATATGACTTGAAGGAAAAAAATATCCTGCATTTAAAGCCACGCCCACAGGTATAATATGCTGGGTCCTCTAGGCCAAGGATTTATTGGTAAATTGAACTTTTTAGTATAATCACCATGATATTCAGCTGCCTGGACATCAGGCAAACACCACTCAGGACGCTAAGGAACCGTCCTTGACAATCCTTCCCACTCCCGCCTTTCTCCTCACCCCCTTTTCAAAAATCAAAAAATCTATTATGAGTGTCTTTTTCAGAACATAAGGCAGACTTTAGTAACTTTCTGCTTTAAGTACTAAATGGCATTTTAAACTTTCATAGAGTACATTGTGTTGGGCACTGGAATAATACTCTTTATTTTCACCTGTGAAAAATGACTTCATTGTACTTGAAACACCTCTTTTGCATTTCTCCATTTGTGGCATTCACTAGTGGAAATAAATTGTATTGTACCATGATCTATTTTTTAAAAAACTGTTAAATATGCATATTTTTGGTATAGCTATTATCATTTGTATGATAATACATTTATTCAATCAGCTCCATCCTGATTGAATAAATGTGATCTGCCCCTATCCTTACTGCCTTTTGCTTACAGAAGCAGAAATAAATCATTTTTGCAGGACAAAACTATCATCCAGAGCAATGCCATCCAATAGAAATTTAATCTGAGCCACTTATGAAATTTAAATTTTTCTTGTAGCCACATTTTAAAAGATAAAAATAAAAAATGAAACTAGTTTTGATAATTAATTTTTTCAATGTGCCTAAAATATCATTTCAACATGTAATCAATAGTAGGAAATTATAAATGAGATCTCTTAAAATCTTATTTCATACTCTTCAAAATCCTGTGTGCATATTAAATTTACAGTACCTATCAATATGGATACTAAATTTTCATAAAAAAATACTTGATCTGGGTCCTCTCATGAGTCTGTAAGCCAGTGTTATAGCCATCTCAAGGCTTGGCTGGGGAGGGGTAGGCTTCCACAAACATTCACAGGGTCACTGGTAGGATTCAGTTCCCTGCCAGGGCCTCTCAAAACATGGCAGCTTCCTTTCTTAGAGCAAGGAAGGAGCCAGAGAGAAAGATAGAGAAATATGGCAAAATAGAGAAAGGTCCCCACTTGCATTTCCCCTTAGTGACACTGATTTGGCAGCCATACACAGACTAAAGGTACTTTATGGGGCTTTGGGTTTCAGATAGGAACCCTGGGGCAGCCCAAGACCAAGGAGGGCTGCACTTAAGTGGCAGCATGGGTCACAGTCCCAGCTACAGACCTAGAAACACAAGTCTCCCGTGGACCTGGCTACAGGCCTGTTTGGTGTGGGTTCACTGTCCACCAGGGACCAAGCTAAGAGGGAAGTATATTGCAATACAGGCCTACCTCAGGAAAGAAGAACAATCCCAAATGAGCAGTCGAAACTCCCAGTTAATCAAAAATAGAAAAGAATAACAAATGAGGCCCAAAGGCAGTAGAAGGAAGGACATAATAAAGATTAGAGGAGAAAAAAAATCGAGAAGAATAAAACAATAGAAAGAATCAATGAAAGCAAGAGCTGGTTCTTTGAGAAAATAAACAAAATAGATAAACCCCTAGCCAGACATATCAAGAGAAAAGGAAAGTCTATGCATGTAAACAGAATCAGAAATGAGAAAGGGAAAATCACTAACAACACCACAGAAATACAAAGAATTATGAGAGAAGAGAATACTTTGAAAGATTATATGGTAACAAACTGGATAACCTAGGAGAAATGAACAACTTTCTAGAAAAATACAACCGTCCAAGACTGACCAAGGAAGAAACAGAAAATCTAAACAGACTAATTACCAGCAAAGAAATTAAACTGGTAATAAAAAAACTACCTAAGAACAAAATTCCTGGACCAGATGGTTTCACTGCTGAATTTTATCAAGCATTTAGTGAAGACCTAATACCCATCCTCCTTAAAGTTTTCCAAAAAGTAGAAGAGGATGGAATACTCCCAAATTCATTCTATGAGGCCAACATCATTCTAATACCAAAACCAGGCAAAGACACAACAAAAAAAGAAAATTACAGACCAACATCCCTGATAAACATAGATGCAAAAATACTCAACAAAATATTAGCAAACTGAATTCAAAAATACATCAAAAAGATCATCCATCATGATGAAGTGAGATTCATTCCAGGGATGCAAGGATGGTACATTAAAAAATCCATCAACATCATGCACCACATCAACAAAAAGAAAGACAAAAACCACATGATCATCTTCATAGACGCTGAAAAAGCATTTGCCAAAATTCAACATCCATTCATGATAAAAACTCTCAACAAAATGGGTATAGAGGGCAAGTACCTCAACATAATAAAGGCCATATATGACAAACCCACAGCCAACATTATACTTAACAGAGAGAAGCTGCAAGCTTTTCCTTTAAGATGGGGAAGAAGACAAGGATGCCCACTCTCCCCACTTTTATTCAATATAGTACTGGAGGTCCTAGCCACAGCAATCAAACAGCACAAAGAAATAAAAGGCATCCAGATTGATAAGGAAGAAGTCAAACGGTCCCTATTTGCAGATGACATGATATTGTATATAACAAACCCTAAGGAATCCACTCCAAAACTACTTGATCTAATATCTGAATTCAGCAAAGTTGCAGGATACAAAATTAATACACAGAAATCTGTTGCATTCCTATACACTAACAATTAACTAGCTGAAACAGAAATCAGGAATACAATTCCATTCACAATTGCATCAAGAAGAATAAAATACCTAGGAATAAACCTAACCAAAGAAGTGAAATATCTATACTCTGAGAACTACAAGACACTCATGAGAGAAATTAAAGAAGATGCCAATAAATGGGAACACACCTTTTGCTCATGGATAGGAAGAATTAATATTGTCAAAATGGCCAATCTCCCTAAAGCAATCAAAGATGCAATGCAATTCTTATCAAAATACCAACAGCATTCTTCAATGAACTAGAGCAAATAGTTCTAAAATTCATATGGAACCACAAAAGAGTGCAAATAGCCAAAGCAATCATGAAAAAGAAGAAAAAAGCAGGGGGAATTACACTCCCTGACTTCAAGCTCTATTACAAAGTGACAGTAATCAAGACAATTTGGTACTGGCACAAGAACAGACCCATAGATGAGTGGAACAAACTAGAGAAGCCAGATATAAGCCCAAGCATATACAGTCAATTAATATACGATAAAGGAGCCATGGATATACACCTCTTTAACAGCTGGTGCTGGCAA